TGAAGACTTCATGTTTGAAAAATACATCGCCTCCTGCAGTTTAAAGACAATCGACCTATCTCAATTTAGTGGCATCCCTCTTTCGTCCGCGACCCATGCGCTTATCTCGATGGTTCACTCTTTAGCCAAAACAACCGATAGAGCAGGAAGTACTGTCTGAGTTGCCCTATTTGATTACTACAAGGCTTCCAACCTCGTAGACCATCATATCCTGGCAAAGAAGGTCTCACTTTTAACTGTGCGAGTCTTTATCAAGCACTGGGCGATCGTCTTCCTCATGAAGATACAACAGTGAGTGAAGTTAGCTTAAGTCTGCCTCTCCGAATAGGCTGACGTCTCATCCGGTGTTCCGCAGGTGACCAAATAAGGCTCGTGATAATTCCTTCTCGTGATAAAGGATCTTCAGTCACCTAGTACAAACTTTGAAACGTATTGACGACACCACCTCTTCTCGTGCCTGAAGACTCCGCCACTAACATCTAAGATGCTGTCGAGAGCGTTCAAACCTGGTCAACTGCAGTAAGACTACAGCTTACTATCGCTAAGAGCAAGGAACTCGTCATCTGTTTCTCAAAAGCCGTGGACATCTTTCCAAGCTTAAACATCGACCCTGAGCAGCTTGAAGTAGTTAAGAATGCTAGAATATCAGGTCTTACCAGTTTTGGAGTACATCTGTCAGGTTTTCCCTTTTGCACTACTTATCAGATGCCATAAGCGTGTTTTGTGTGTCAGAAGCGTGTTTTGGCAATTATCTACCCTAGCGTTGACATCGCGGACAGTTTGTGCCACAGTGAAATTTTAAAGCTAAGCGACAGGCGTTTAGAAGTATGCAATAAACTATTTAATGACATTGTTATAACACCAACTAACAACCGTGGAAATCTTCCACCAGCAAGACACACCCCACGCTATAACCTTCGACTGCCTCGAGTCTTTGTCCCTCCTAGAGCGAAGACTTGTAGATCTGTGAACACGTTTGTACCGTCTTTAGTTGGAGTTCGTAACCAATCCTGACACGTGAATTATAGTCTGCATTTTTCAACAGACTCGCAGATGTAATGTATTTTTTCAGAAACGATGCAATTTGAAACTATGAATGAAATGTACAATCTTTTATTTTCTCATCAAAAAGTGTCACAAAACGTGTATATATTTCTTTTTTTTTTTTCAAATTGCAACTTTAATCCATATTTATCACACCCTTTTTGTATTCACGCAATTCAGCTGCAAAGTGTTACTTTAATAAACATATCTATCTATCTACATCAAAGATAAATAACAGCACTTGCGTACGACGGTTACCGATCTTTTCACCAACAAGGTGTCAAGTTCATATTCCCATTTTTTGGCAAGCTTTCTACTTCCTGCAATTTTTCTATTCTTTTTAGAGTTTCACTCGGAACACGGACAGATTTTTATGAGATAACATTATCGAAAAAATTAATACCTTTCGTCGAAAAAAAAAGCAGTTTGAAATCTGATGGATTTTCTTCACACCTTAAAGCTTTTGGTATTATGCAACGACTGACTGAAGACTATTCACTGAGACCTCATTCAAACCATGCATTTTTCTTAAGAACAGCATGTGCCTAACCCCTCTTAGAGTAATGAGAATGTTCTTGAAGCCACAGCCCTTGTAAGCAAATCTGCTGCAGTGCCAAGTTCTATTTCCCGGCAACGATTAAACCAGAAAGGCCCTAGCATGTTTAAAACTTGCAAATCAGAAGTTGACTTTCCTTGGCATTTGAGCTCTTTCCATAGGCACGTATTCCACGCTTTGCCAACAAGTTTGTTAGAGACCTGGGCTGCCCAACTCCCTCAAAAGGGATTAAAAATGTGCAGATACCTTGATCCAGAATCTTGCTAGAAAACTTTGACCGCAGCTGGATGCACTGGACGAGTAAAAACTGCCACGAGTAGATTGAGGGGCATCCGAAATTAATACTATCAAGCAGATTGATCATTACTTGAATGCTGCGTCGACATCAGTCTTTGCCCCTAGTGATCAAATCTTAATTTGTATTGGACCAAACAAATGCTGAGTATGAAAAAGGCAATAGTGGTCACCAGAGTAACAATCACAGGTGTGTGCACTGTTAAGAAGGCAGCCAGATTTTATGCTCCAGAAAATGGTCAAAATGAGAACATTGCAGTCACAAAAGAGTTGAAGTGATCCGGCTGTATGATCAGCTGACAGACGTATCAGGCAAGACTTCAGGCAGGAAGAAATAGGAAGATTAGGAGAGGAGGACGGAATTTGAACAGAAGAAATTTAAGAAGAATACAGAAAGCCAAGTGTTAGATGGCTAAATCAAGACAGTTCCCCCAAGAGAATGAGGCTATTCTCGCCCGAAACAATGTCGCCTGAAAATAGGGTTATGTTGCTGAAGAGTTTTAGTCTAATCGCCCAAAATCCCGAAGTATTTTATATAATGTATGTGTAAATTAATTCCAATTGGCTAGTCACGCGCTCTAATAAATCTCAGTGTTGGGACATACCTTCATGCTTTTAAGCCATATGCCTCCCTCGTTTCCTATTTAAACTTGTCATTTACTAGAAGCCGTCCATCTCAGTTTCCAACGCGATTTTCTTCTCTACTTTTTGTTGGACTTACGATTAGCGGAAATAAGCGCTGAGTAAGGAGAGCGTGTTTGGGTGAATATTTTCCTTATCAATGCCTTTTTATTTCACCAAAAGTATAACTCTTACTGTGAACAGGAAGCCAACGTTGTCTTCAGAGGAGGCAAACCTTCAACCTTTCACTAGCGGTGGAGCAGGGACCAATTTATTCTCAATGGCTTAGATCTTGAGTTAATGGTTACTTCAGCCCTTAGGACTCCTTTTTTGATCAAAATTTCTTGAGAAAGTAGGGTATAAACCCGCAAGAAGACGCCATAGTCCCTAGATCGACCGTCTGTTCTGACTGTTCTGAGCTGTCGCTCAACCACCGAAGATGAATTAAAAGAAAAAAGGGAAGCGACAATCTGTTGCAGGCTCTCGGTCGGTGAAGACGAGCTAAAGAGCAGGTAAAACCTGCCTGATCCCACCACTTTTAGCGTGTTCGCTTTTTAATTCGTTTGCACTGACCGAAAGCCTGTCACAGGCTAGGTGATCGATAAATGGCTGTTGCTCTATTTTCCGGTCGTCATCCTTGTCCGTGGACACAGACTGATGGGTCTGGGTTCGATCCTCTGACCGAGGTCAACGTCTTGGGTTTTTTGGAAATGGAAGAAGACGGAGCTGTAATCGAGGTTGAAGTATAGTAGAGAATCAGCGAACTGCCAGGAAAAAGAGACAAAATGCTGGAGGTGGGAGATGGGGACTATTAGCCTTCCATGGACTAACATCCTATTGGGGCCGGGAAGCAGAAACACTTCTAGTCCATTAAAGCTTATTACATATTCCCGAGCGACCACCATTAACTCGCCTTACGCTGACGCTGATAAATTACTTCCAGAGGGTAATATTGTTTTTCTAAAATTTAATTGACTGCTGGCAAAACTTTCAAATGCTTGAGAAAAAAGGAAAACAATTGCTTATGAAAATGTAAAAATCGTTGTGGAATTCTAAAAGAATCGAAAACTCTTTTTCGCATTTAACCAGCGGTCAATTTTAAATTAAAGCTATTCTGTTTGATATAAAATTGAATTGAAACAGCCGTAGGCAAACTGGTTGTTTTTAGCTGATCTCATCGGAGAAACCAAAAGCACTCTTCAGAGTTGCACTGATAAAATTTTACCTACGTTCTGGTTTTCACGCTTTTTTTGTTTGTTTGTTTTTTTTTTTTGTGTTCATTTAGTTTTTGAACAAATTCAAGAGCCATTTCAACTGACATAGACCTATCCATCTTTTTTTTTTGCGATGGGTGTCTAATTACCCAAAATAGAGAAAAAGTGTATGTAATACGAAGACGAAGTCAGTCGAGCTTCAGCGCAACCTTTTTGAAATATCACATTACTTAGCTTCAAGTAATCAAAATGAATTGGAAAGTTCGACAAATGAACGAGCCGGTTTGATTAAAAGGATTTCGGTTAGTTCGTAGAAATGTTGTTCAAAGCTCTTCAAATGTTCATATCGTTAGACTCTGAATCTTGTAATAAACAATTAATTGAAAGCTAAATCTTTCCTCAAAAAGCCGCAACCACTAAATTGGGCAAAAATGATGCTCACCGCTTTTCAGAGCTAATGAAATTTATTTAAATGGAACGACTTCAAACAGAAAGGAACGGTTGTCATCTGATACATGTTACACAGTAACGTTCATCGCCTCCACGAAACGCGTAACGATAGCTAATCTGTAATCCTTTGTAAATCTCATTTGACAACTAGAAAGAAAGCCGTCCAGAGTTAAGAGCGTCGCCATTTACATGCGCTAATAACCAAGTCATTTTACAGGGAAGTTCAATTTATCATGAGGAAACACGTTTTACATGAAGGCCTTTGCAAAGCCAATCACAAGTCACAATACTAATCGAATCTCACTCCGGTAATTAAAAGTCGTTGATTACATATCACTGTTTTTGCCTGAAACGTAATTAAATTATTCAAATTTGTTGTTTCTATAAAACAAGAATTCGACTGTTGTCATAAGTTAATAGTACCGTGCTTTGTAGGCCTAATTAAATTCGTCCAAAGTGAGGGGTAAATTTTGCACTCAGGCCGAACCTAGTAAACACGACTACATGTGCGTCTGTCAGCTTCACCCAACACAGCGCTGGGGCAGGTGCTATCCGGTGTCCCTTCCAAATAAGGCAAGCTTGTAATATCAAATGGAAAGTTTTCTGTAATTGATTCACCAATTATCTCATTGATAGATTGCCTAATGCGACTAATTCCTTGATAATCTCAGCGTCTCACTCCTTCCCGCTATCCTATTAGAAGAGCAATAATTTTTGATGACGCGAACAAAGCGGCCGACAGCGGCGGGTCTTCTGCTCTCGTTAATGGTCCCCATCTCAGCGTGATTTGAGTGATCCCGTGTTAAGAACTCGTGTACAAGTAACGCAAACAAAGACGTTTATTAAATTATTGACCGGGTGGTTGTTTCGCAGGGAGTCGCGCCCCAAACAAATTAACAACTCTTGAAGTCCAAGACATTCGATAGAATTCGCGAACAGTTCGAGACAACGTACAAATCTTTACCAGATACCTGTTTTTCTGTCGATATATACTTTACAATAGAGGAACAAATGAAGGGGTGATCCTTTGAGAAACTAATTAAAAATTTATGCTGAAAGAACGAGTTCACAAGTAGTGTCTATTTTCTTTCCTAAAATTTACTCAGACGTAAGCAGCACGTGTGAAATATGATCAAAAGCAATTCATTCAGTGGAAGAGACACAGCTCAAGGAGGCGGCGTGTTCTCGTGCTTTCAGTCTAAGTGCCGCGATACTGGTTGTTCTTCTGTCTGGCTCTACCGGTGAAACGCTTCGAGGAGATGAACCACATGACACAACGGGAGAGAGTTTAAACACTGGTGACTTATAGGGCACGGAGGTTGCCGTTAGAAGTGAGCTGCTGCCATTGCCGCCGCTCAGTATGGCCGCCGCCGAAAAGTACTCCGAGTGGTGGGTGTAATACGGTGAATAAAAGTGGGCCATACTACCTGACTGTGGGCAAGCCGCGGGGTGTAAGGGAAGTCGGAGGGCCGGAAAAGAAGGCGGCGGGTGAGGCGGCATTGCGGAGGAAAAACCACAATCCCATTCTTGATCATGGTTCCTGCTAGCAGCCGTTAGTTCAGAGGTGTAAGCTGACAGTGGAGGAGGAACTAAAGGGTTACCCAGTCCAAGTGGAGCATGGAGGCGGACACCTTGAGCCTTCTCACGCTTACGCCATTTCGCTCGTCGGTTCTGAAACCAAACCTGTTTTGAAAAAGTTAATAGTATTCATCGCCTTTATATTGCACGAGAAACAATACTGAAGAGCCCAAAAAAACGATCGACCCTTTTTCACCAGATTTTGTCTCAATAAATGTTATTCTTGTCCTACAACCAAAGACAAATCTAAAATTAACATCAATTTTGCATAACCACGAGAATGTCGTTAATCATTGTTTTGAAAACGAGAAATTAAATAAATTGGCAATATAGTAAGGCACTTAGCTTTTTTAATTTAAAGTAGAAACAAAAATTATCCATAGCAGTTTTGAATCAATGAAGTGTGACTTCTCACAGAGTTTTCGATACATTCACACTAATTTGGCCGCAGCAAGACGCCTTAAGATCTACTAACTACCGCAGTGCTGTGCAATCAACAACACTGAATAAACTGATTCGTGATACACCTTAAACATCACAAAATCTATCGACGCCTTTATTTGAATAATTGCCATTGACAATTGTATTTCAAGTGCTTTGGAAAATTGCCATGTATATTAATTTCCTTGTTGTAATAGTTTAGTGATAGTCCTCCTTATCACCCATCACCAACAAATGCCTCTCATTTGTGGAGTTTAATTCGTTTCCACTTTTTATCTCTGCCAATAAGGAGGTTTGCGTCCGCAACTAAATTGGACTATTTAATTAGCCAAAGAACAAATCAGCTCATAAATTGCTCTAGTGATTTGAACAATACTGTTGACTGCTACTTAGCCCATCAGCCGGCCGGCTGTGTATATGGCACGTCAAGGAAACATTTGAGATATTCATACCTGAACACGCGCTTCAGTCAAATCAATTTTTATGGCTAGTGCCTCTCTTGTGAACACATCTGGATAATGAGTCTTAGAGAAAGCCCTTTCTAACTCTTCCAGCTGATAGCTTGTGAAGGTTGTACGGTATCGACGCTGTTTCCTAAGTTTTCCTGGTGAACAATTACTCTCCTGATCTTCTTCATCGTCGCTTTTCACTTTAAGTTCATCTCCACTTTTAGTATCATCGTGTTTCTGATCCGCTGAATTTGCTTCCGCATCGTTCTCTGAGGAAAAAAAACCCGGATAGATTGTGGTCTGCTGTTTTCAACGAAGAAAAAAGGGTGATTATTAAATTAATAAAATAAAGACGATTTGTGTCTAATGCTAGTATGACAATTAGAACTAATCTTGAACACCATAATGAAATCATTTGGAAGAATCATTTTGCCTTGAAACCATTTCGCCTTTATGAAGCGAACAATGTGGTTAAAGCTCTCTTTTCCCAATTGAATCACAAAGATTTTAAAGTTACATATAAAAATAATTAAAGTGACGAGATATTGATGTAGTCCGCCCCAGTTAACGACAGCAAAATGCCACCAGTATTGAAAGGAAAATTCTGGCATGTGAAAAGGCCTTATACACCCAATTTAATTTCCAGCTTATTTGTAGACGACATCGAAAGATTTAAAGAGCTGTGTGAGCTAACAAGTGAGGCCGCTTATTCGCTACCTTGTTTTCTCTCTTCTGTGCTGTGACCCAGCTTACGGTCTACTGCTTCGTCGAAAACACGTTCCAGTTTTGTACGGTGTTTGTGTTCATCGTCTCGGTTGAGTCCCAACAATCCATCAATAGTGTAAGAGCTGGGTATGGCCTTAGTACTCATGTTTGGTGGACGAACTCTGGTAAATGGAATGCGTCAAGTCTTCCAAGTGTTTTAATAAAACCCTGTGGACACATCGACTGCACGAGTAATTCTATTGGTGTAAAAGCAACGAAATTCTCAGCCGATAATAAAATTAATAAAACTACGAAAGTTCATTAGGGGACGTCATGATACTCAGCGCATATTCTTTACATTTGCAATTAGTTTAATCTCATTTGATCAAATAGCCGACAACAACGTGAAAATGACAGATTCCTCATTAAGTGTGTGACAAAACGATTCCTTTCATACGACAGTTTTCACGCGAACTATTCTGATGGAGGCATGATCTTCAAGAAACTTCACGGTTCGAGTTACGAGGTTAAGTGTGTGAAATAACCATGTTGACTCACCGGTACTGGGTTGTTTATTCGCTACTGCTCTCTCTCTTTCTCTCTCTCTCTCTCTCTTGAGCCACTTACAAAGTATTGATGATACGCCAGCGAGACTTTTCCCCCGCTTCGAATCATCTACGGGGTCAAGATCCGAACAAATGTTGCCGTTCACCGGTTATGACAGACCTCTTGTGACTTGTGTTCCGTCGTTAGAATATTTGTTAGCGACAAAATGTGTGTTATGAATTCTATCGCACGCTTTGAGGCGTAATCTTCAAATATTCTGTTCCAATAAATATAAATTAAAACCACATTCAACTGTAAATAGGTTTAACAGCTGATATCACCAGCTGCCCTGAACAATGACCCGGTAAGAAAAGAATATTGAAAACTTGCATCCATCTCAACATTTTGATTGGGTTAATTAATCACCATTTGTCCCCGTAATTAATTAATTAATACCGTTTATCTTGAGTCGATACAAGCTTCGCAGTGAACCAATCACAAAGCTTGCCCATTGAAGCGTTCGAGATGTGCCGCTGCCGAGAATTACACATTATCACATAGGTGTTATTACATGTTTACCTTGTGCCACAATTCGGTGCGCGGTATGCGTTATTATAATAACAATAAAACGTCCTTTTATCACCAACTCATTCCAATTTAATTAAACTAATAAGCCCGCAAAATGAATGTGGCCACAACCTAAATCCTCTAGTGAGTGGAATTCCTTAGCAAAAGAGCGTTCGTGCAATCGCGAGGATTAAAAGTCGTTTTTCCTTCGCGGTGTAAATGTTGAAGTCTCCAGCAATGATTTCCGCAAGTGCTTTTTCAACAATTAAGTTTGTTGTTCATGTGCGCGTAAACACCACGAGAAAAAGCAAATACGTGAACAATACGGTAGTGAATATTAATAGCATAATTGTGCGAAACGATCGGAATCAACAGTGATAATGTAATAACTATATTTTGTCAGACCAAGCGTTCGCACGAAATGAATCGAGTTTATAAATAAGGAATTGTACAGGAGGGGTTTTTATTTCCTTTTTAAAACGAACCGAAAACGATGTTATTGCAAAGATAATCACCCATTTTCTCTAAATGTAAGTGAATTGACCAGGTTATATCAACTAAGAAAGCTCAGATGTAAATTAAAAGCAGTGTCACTCCATACAAGTTTCACAAATGACAGGCCAGCAGGAAAGAAAACCGGCTTAGTGTGAACTTTCCACATTACTTTATTCCCTGAGAAACACTGTTAACGACATCAGAGTCCTAACTAAAAAAACTAACTCGATAAAGATGGTTTAGGAGGGGAATCTTGCTTCGTGAAAATGACACAACAAAGTTTATTTGTCTACACTCAAGTGCAAGAAAAAGATTTCAAACAAACACTTCACCTGTGAGGATTTCAATATCCGCTATCACCACTCGAGTAAGTTTTGACGGTTATCTATTGTTGTCTTTCAGGGTCTCTGTCACAGCAAGTTGCTTAAGAAAGAAACAAAACTCAACGTGTGGGAAAAATGGTAAAATTTACTAATAAAATTCGGTACTATACAATGATCCATCTTTCGTAGAATTACAAAACATATTCCAGTAATTTTATCATAAGAATGAGATAAAAGACAGAAAGGAAAGGAGAAAATTTCTTCCTCTAAAACCGCACAAAATTACAAAACAACGGTGGTTAAACATAATAGCATTTTGGCATCTCCAAATCTATACAAAACAAATCAAACGAAAAATTTTAAAAGTTCGGGCAAAATGATTGTCCACCGTAACATTCAGTTTGTTCCTTCCATGGCTAAACAAGAAAGAAACTAATCCTAGACAGGATGAATCTTTTCTTAACACTTCTTCTCTTCTCACTTGTTAGCGTGGGACTCTTGATCCTCGCACTAAATACATATGGATGTAATTCTTTAAAAAAATCCTCTGGTTAGCCTTATTTACTCTGCCTCCTTTTACTATTAGCAAGGCAGTACGAGTAATATCACCCGCCTATGATTCCAACACATTCCAATGGGGCATCATCCTGTTGCTTGGACCCGGTGGGAAAGTCAAGCGGTGGCGGCCAGTAATTACCGCCATATGCTGACAAGATGAAATTCTTCTAATTAAATTACTTTGATGAAACGGTCTCCTCGCTTGTGATTAGGCGACAGAGTTACTGCAGAAGACAATTCCATATTTCACGCACTCCCTCACAAGCCCTCTCCGTTCATTCTCTTATTTCGAAAGTGATCTCTCTCTGTCATGATTTGTTCTCTCGCACTCTCGCGCGTTTTCTCGCTCGCACTCTCGCGCGTCGTCTCGCACGCTCGCTCACACGCACGCATGCCTCCACGCACGCCCCCACGACTTCATTCTTTGGGAAGATTTCGAGTAAAAGGTTGGAAATCGCCGCCTAGCAGAATTTGAAGCCACCGGGAGGAAGATTATCTTTAGCTTGAAACTCGAACTGGCCATCCACTTCTGTTGGAGCTAAATCTTCGTCACCGTTGTCACCCTGTGCAGATAAAAACAGCAGCAGAAAAGATTTTGTACAAGTAGACAGACAACGTGCAGCTAAAAAAAGAGTGTTAACAAAGAAAGCGTTAAAAGCGTTTAAAATCAGTGACACAAGCAGCAAGGCACTGTATTGACAACCTGAAGGTAGGTAACTGGGAATGACAGCTTATGATAAAAATGGAATTCAAACTAAAGAAGTAGGACTGAAAATGGCTTAAGGTATACAAGTTACAACATCTTATCAATCGAGAGAAATTACGCACAGTACTTTCAAGTACATCTAATATCTACACGGTTGTTTCACGGTGCTTTAACACTATAAAAATTTACCGGAATCCCACCGGTATTGTCATTGCTTATGCATAGCGAGTCAATTCAATCAGTGAAAGCGAGCAAGCAAGGTTTAGAAGTCACAAGGCAAAACAATCAACCACATGCTAAGAACCACAGAGCAAATCAAATCTGACGCTATGAGCTTTACATTCAATCCGCGTTTGTTCTGTCAAGCGTATTACAATGACAGCGCTTCACTGAACCGCAAACACAGTGAAGATCGAAAAATGTGAGAAATTAACGGAACTCTTACTTCGGAGCATTTTCAAATTTTCGGGAAATCAGACTTTCCCGTTTCTAATGAGTTGTTACATTTCCTTGATAATGGGCTCAGTGTAAGATCATATCAACTCATTTTTTTTGCCTAGTTTCGTGCACGGGTACGTAAATGTATAGCCAACCTTGCAGCTCGACAAACAAGCCTTACCAAGTCAACAGAACCAGAAAAGACACTATTCCGCTTGTGTTCCCGCTGTATCGGGGTTTCAAAGAGCTTTGCTTCAGTTTTAGACCTCTTTTGACACGGTCAAGACTGACAAATAACTATCATATGAGGGCATAAGCACTGCCACCCTTCCTTTTTTATTATTTTCACGGCCCGAAGAAATCGAAAAAAATCCCAGTGGCACTCATATAGGATGAACAAGTATGACTGAATCTATGGCGAAAAATTACAGAGAGTACAATTACTACAGCAGCTTCGCGTCTGGTTTATTTCGTGCTACATCATAACAAACAGAGCCTCATTAAAATAACAGAGAACATACCTCATTAGAAAAGTACTGATCTATTATTCCAAAAGCGAGTTTGTAGATTTCTTCATTTTCGTGTTGCTGGAGGAATTCAATCTTATCCAAACCTGGAATAGGACAGATCAAATTATTCTGAGGCCGCGATACGGTTGCTGAGTTAAAGTCCGACTTCCATATAGCGCTACCTTGGTCACTGTACTACCATGAATAGCGCATGGCACCTTGCAATAATCGCTCCTTTTCTCTCCTCTACCATGCTCAGTAAGGATGAGTGAAAAAGTGGGTAGCGTGAATCGACGGGGTCGTCGCTCTCCTTAGTCCCACACATTTTTCCTCCCGCTCGCCCACTTTTTCGCCCGTCCCCACAAACTAGGTGCCTGCAACAGCCTCACTAACAGGTTTGGCTGTTCAAATCCTTCCTTTGGACTAGAAACTAATTTTCAAACTGGATGAAGCGACAGCGACTGTATTCCCTTAGACGCTTAACAAGACCCTCTTCTCGGCTACATTCACGATGAAAAGCGAATTCAACGTGAAGCTCCGTTTTAAATAACTTAAAGCAAGAAAAGAAGGAAAGAAAGTCTTCGTCAAGACTGCTGAGGAAGAGGTCTTCTAGCGTATTACTACTAATTTTCAAACACTAAACTACGTGAAAACGGTGGCTGCTATTACGCGAGGCGGTGAATTACTCTGTGAGGACCTTCAATTTTACTTCGCGAAATCAAGCAAAATTGAGTTACGTATGTTCCTTAAAAGCTAACTGTTTATCTTCTTATAAACCAGGACCGATTGAAAAAAAGAGACAAAACTTTTTAAAACTGTAACATTCAGCCACGTCTAACAAAACAAGGTATTTCAAAATAGTGATCTCGTCATCTAGGAACACAGATCTAGTCCATTCTGTCAACGAAAATTCCGCCTGAGACCCAAACTGTTCATAAATGCCTGCTTCATGCTTAAAAATTAGACCCTGTTCCAATCTCTCGAAGTCGCAATAACAAGTGCAAATACCAAGATATTAAAGTAATTTTTGTTTATAAGGCACTCTAAGTATACGTTTGTTTACATGCCTTATTCCTGTCAGTCTGCGCTAAGAAGTATAGAGGAATGCGTGTACTTGCATTAGGACAACAACTAATGTTTTGAAATCATTTCAGTATTTAACCTCCAATACAGATCAAATTTGGGTCGCCAACTGTTTTTGTCCTTTCCAAGTCCAGGAGACACCAAAATTGAATCTGTAGTCATGATATCAATACAATTTTAATCACTGGGGAAGAAATGTATGGTGAGACAGTGCAGTGAGGAGAATTATTTTAGATCAGTCTTACGATTGAGAAGTTTTAACGTAAAACTACAAACCTTACTTCTGTCTTGAATTGTTGTTAGTTATTGTCATTTGTAACTAAGCTATACATGTATATACCAACCTCCAGCTTCTTCTATAATGGTTGCGATAGCATCAGACCTGTCCCCTGCCATCTGCAACAACATACCAAAAGATTTAGTTCAAAGATTACTCAAAACAAAACTCTTTTTCTTATCTTTTTAGCTGGCCTTGTCCTGCCAGCCTACGTACTCACGTATCCATTATCCTTCAATACGCAGGTTACGATGGCGGAAGAACACAATTTCGGTCATCAAGACAACGTTACTTAACATGTTTCAAAACCTTTTCAAGTTTAAACCCCTAAAAGTTAGTTGTGACAATTCTTGATTGAAAATTGAATCAGCAGAGTATAAACCAAAAGCTTACA